AGCCCTTAAGTTTTAGCCTATGCTTCCAGGCTTGGACCCCTCTCTCTGTATTAACTTCTCCACCTCGACTCTTCCATCCCCTTCCCTGTACCTGTGGCACCCAGAAAATGCATCACCTAGATCAGAACGTGATCACCAGACTTCCAAATCTCATCTGTTCAGTTCAGCTCATTGACTCCCAGGAGGCAGGACAGTACAGATAGCAGAGCAGCTGCACAGTAATGAATATTCATTAGCTTCCCAGGAGTTTATGAACCCTATTTACTGATTTATATGTTCCAAAATATATTTAAATAAGTTAGCAAAACACCTATTTTTGAATAGAACTTCTATATAATATTTCTTATGTGTTTAGTATTACAGGTTGGTAATCTCAAAGAGCCTTTTTGAAACTTTCAAAAGCAACTATTAAGCACTTAAACTTACAGTCTTAAAGTTCTCCCCCTTTTTCCCCACATTGAGACTCATGGAATTATCTTTGATTCAACTAAGTGAAAAAGCCAAGAAATGTGTTCTGACGTAGCTGGATAACAGAGAAATGTACACATTGAAAATGAATGATTTACTTTAAACTTTAGACATAGCTGGACAGGTAAAATTTTATCATCGAGCCTAGTGAAGGCCTGGTATATAAGTGCTCCATAAATTCTTGATAAGTGGCTGAAGTTTTAATAATTACTTGATAGAAGATTTTATTTCTGAAACCTACAAACCACTTCTTCATGAATTACGGCTCAGTGCTACTTCCCAAAGCAACCCCTTATTCTAACTCTGAGAAGCTAGGTGACTAGTAATTGGTAGTAGATGCTCCAATTTTCCATCTTTAGGTTTTACTACCGTCTTGAGGAGTAGGAGGCCAAGAATCTGCCCCAGTACTTCTACTAATGTCCTCTATGTGGCAAAAAAAAAAAAAAAAAAAAATAGAATTAGAATTCTACCCCATTCTATCTTCAGACAGGGATAGAGATGAAAACAAATAATCAATCAGGCCATATAGGGAAACCAAGTCAGGAATCAAACTTGTTTAATAAGTGACTACCTTTTATACATTTAAATAATGAAGTCTTGCAAAATACCATCAAATCCTGAGACAGAATAGCATTCCACAGATGGTTCATTATTCTTTGCTTTAGCACTTCCAGTAATTGGCAAACAGTCCTTACTACAACAGAATTCCTCTAAGAATTAGACATGTTCTTAATGGATTATTTCTCCAAGTGTTACAATGGATCACAATTTGCCTTCCCTCAGTCCTATAGCATCTGCCCTAGTTTTGTATTCTCAGATAGTAACACGTGTGCCCTCCCTCTCCCATGTGACAGATGTTCTTCAGCAACTCATACACGGCCCTTAAGTTTTTGTCTTCCTGAGTTCCTTCAAACTTCTGCCTATGGCAGGATTTCCCTCTGTTTTGACAATACGCTTACCACAATTTTGCCCTTGGATCTATTAAAATGCTTTCAGTTAGAGGTGAAAGAAATCAACTTCACGTTGGCTTCAAGTTGCACTGAAAACTCCTGCAGCAGAACAATTTAGACACCATTCAATCAGGGCTCTGACCCACTCCCTGTGGCTTGGTCTTCCCTGCCCTTTATCTCTGTGCTAACTTTCTCCAGACTGACTTCCCTCCTGGCTGTGGGATGCGTGCCAGCAGCAATTAGTGCTGCATGGTGCCTCATTCAGCAGGAGAGGCAGGTTGCTTCTCATTAACTGCTGGGAAAGAGAAACACTGAGATTTACATCAATTGGCCACCCCTGAACCAATCCCTAAAACCAAGGGAATGCCACGCACTGATAAGCTTAGGCCTGGATTAATTAAACCAATTAGAGTTCAGAGGAAGATGGCATTTTCCTGGCTGGCTGAGCTGAGCAAGGTTTGCTGCTGAAGTTGGGGTCAAGTCCATTCAAGCCTTCTGCTATTGACAGGGCAGGTGGAAGTGGTGTTGAAGGGAGCTGTCTTCTGTCAACCAGACATTTAATTTTGCATGTCACACTGCTCTGGTGGGTCCTATTAGTGTTCAAGTTCCGTGAAACACTAGGAATCTGTCTTAGTGCCATTTCCCCCACTCTGGAAATGTTCTCTATTAACAGAGTCTTACATGGAAATTGCCCCCCTCCCTTTTTTACAGCAGATGTAAATTTTAAAGTTTGTAGTTAACAAAAGTACCTGAAGTGGTTTTCAATTTTTCTTCATATTGCTTTATTGAGATGAACTGTTTAGAAGCGCCAGTGCATTCTTATGAAATTGTTTGCAAACAGTCAAAACTGTACCTCCGCGTTGGTTGCTGAATCTGAGTGTCCTGGCTTTATGTACTGTTGTACTGAGAACATTTAAATTCCATTCCTACCAGCCAGGGCCTTTGCTTACTCTTTGCAGATGGGTGTCTCTTGACCTAGATTGCGTTTTTAAATGTAGCTAAGAGAAGGCGAAGGTCAAAGCCACATGACACGCTGCAAGGATCATCCCTGCAAACTGCTATCGGACAGGTAACTTCCAGCAGCTGCTCAGTCAGTGGCACATGAAGCTGCTTCCCCACCAGCCAGTCATATTTCTAGCCTGGTCCGCAAAGACATATAAGTGATTTCATCAAGATCCCTACCTAGACGTAAATATTGCCTCTCAACCTCGGAAATCATCCAGGCTACCCAACCTACAGAAAATTAAATAAGGCTAATTTGGTAGGAATGCTTTTAGTGCATTCAGACTGGATCCTGGACACGGTCTCATTATTCTCCAAGTACTCTCAATTCCTTGTTAGACTAATCCATCCTCGAATGCTATTAAGATCAACATTGCTGATGTAATAACTTCCAGAATCTACTTTTTTACCCTTTGGGAGAATGGGGATGATTTGCACTCAGATCACATCTGGTAGCCTTCCTCTTCTCCATGATTTCTGTAGATTACTGCCAATCATCCCATGATTACATCTGTAAATCCTTTCAGCACCTTGGAATGCAATTTGCCTATGGCTGCAAACTTGAATTGATTTAAAATGTCTGGGTGGCTCCTTATAATCTTCTTTTCTGGGACTTCAATTTACTCTCAACGGCGTGTTTCCATCCCCGCTATTCGGATGAAACTTCTCTGTAGTGGCAAGGACAGATGCTAGAGAGGGTGGAGTGCCCCCGCCTCCTGCTGGATTTATAGCCTCTCCTCGTCTCTTCTAACCTCTGGGCTGATCTACCCCATAGATGCTCACAATTATGATTCTTACTCTGTGTGTAAGTCTTACTCTCGGTTTTCCTGTCCGCAACCTTTTTGTAATTTAACTTTTATTCATCCATCACCTTTTAGAGACAGTCTCCCTGAGAAGCCTTTGTTAGTCCTCCAAATCTAAGTTGGGTCCCCTGCCTACACTCTATGACACTTTATTCTTCAGGGAACTTGGCGCACACAACGTGAATACGGCCAGCGTGAGCATTCCCCACTTGGCTGTATGCAGCTGAAGGGTAAAAATGTTGTCTTATTCTTCTTTGTAGAGATATTCATAGTGGCTGGTGTCATATAGGTGCTCAAATCACAAATAATAACTGTTAAATGATTTAAATCTGCAAAGGTTCATTTAACTTTAGCATTTTTTCCAATTCTTATATTTGACTCCCAAGATTTCTTTTACTGCCATCATAGGGCAAGTTTCCTTAGCAATCAAACTTAAATCTCAAATTATAATTTATCATAACATTTTCCAATAAAAAGCCTTCTTGCTGTGATGTTCATTTTCAGGAAAGATTAAGATAACATTGCTAATGAAAAAAGAAAGAAAATCTTCCTGTATGCATATACTGTATACTCACTTGGAAAACCACCCTTACTATAAATTTCTTTTTGAGGCATAGGGACTAATTATTACAAATGGAAACATGGTCATAAAATGAGACAACCTTTTTAACAGACAAAGTCAAACAAATGCTGAATGTAGTGGTTCACGTATGTAATCCCAGCATCTAGGAGGCTGAGACGGGAAGATCACTGCAAGTTTGAGGGTTGCATTATGAACACAAGGCAAGTATGAAGTACACAGACTTTGTTTATAGAAAAAGAAAAAAAGAATCAGCAAATTTTCTAGTTTAGAATTTTTTAAAATGTGTCATTCACTACAACAGCTTTAATTTGAGAATTTGAATGAACATTTTATTGAATGCAAATTTTATATAGTACATTTTATATAATCTCTAATTTTCATGTTTTACTAAGTGCATTTATTACTGATATTCTTTTCTTCAACAATGATGTTTGTCACCTGTTCAACAGTTCATAAAATTTTAAGAGTTTTAAAATTAAACAAACTCAAATTTCATATTTGTAACTACATCCTGAAATGAATAAATAATAAAGATATATTCAATTGCCACTAAAATTGTAGGCATTTAAGAATTCTTCTACCTACAAAGAAGTGGAAGGGTCCTAATCTCCTCTGATTTTAGAATTTCAGTAATTTTGACCCAGGTTGATTTTTGGACAGTTTATGACCAGAAAACACCCTGAGTTGCTGCTACTGTTTTTCTGTTCTGTATGGTAATATAGTAGTTGTCTTGACTGTCATAGATTGGATGCATAGCTGCTCCAGGATTTCTTGAAAACTACCATGGGTTATGTCAATATTTGTGATGACTAACTTGCCTGACCAGTTTCCAATTGAACAAATCAGTCAAAAACCATTTATAAGCAGCTATAATTGACTGAGATCCAGAAATACCAGCTACTCTGATTAAGGTTTACAGAGAAAGATTGTTGCTGATTGGTACAATTAAAAGTTATGGAACAAATAATTCCTTAGGCTTCAATGACAGCTACTAAAACAGAAGACTTGAAACTAAGTCATCTTTAATGTTGTAATGTATGTTATTAACATATTTATAATTCATTTTTTATTCAGTCACTAAGAGAGAAAAGCATCTACAATATAATAGAACATTACACTAACACCAGTATGACACTTGTATTGGCTAGGGGTTGTATACAGAGAACAATTAGAATCAGGACATGGAGTTTATAATATTATTTTTATAAGGGTCACCAAGAGTCAACACAAGAAAATGCAGGAAATCTATCCACAACACCAAAGACATAGAATATTTAGTTAAGGGCTTAAATCCCACAGCAATGTCCCACATGAGTCCAGATAAAAACCCAGAGCTCATGACAATGCCTCCCACGAGTCCAAAAGGAGATCCAGAGCCCACAAGAAGGACTCATGTCAGTCTCTTTTATGGATCCGTGCCAGCAAGGCCCAAAGGTCAGCGGTGGAAGCCAGAAAGTCTATGCCAGCAGGGTGAAGGAGCTGTGCTGGTGGGATGAGGGTTCTATGCTGGAGCCGAGAAGTCACACTCACAACAAAGACCAGGGCTGTCCTGAAATGCACCACAGCCATCCTCAGCGACACAGAGGCCCCGAGCTCCTCCTACGATAAGCACAGTCAGGTACCCGCCAGGAAGCCAGTGTGAGGAGTTCATCCTGGAGACCAAGCGGCACGTATCTTCCCCTCCAGAGCTAGGAAGCAATGCTCGATGTGAGGACCAGAGCTTCTCCAAGAGAACCAACAGCTCAAAGAGCAACGCGTAGGAGAACCCACAATGCTTCAGTGCAACAATGTTTTAACGCCTCAATGCCTTAACAACCTGCTTCTCCTCCTTCTCCACCTATTTATGCTAGCAACTTTCCTCAGGTGGAGCATCTTCACTCAGTGCCATGCTGATGTAATCCAGCTGGCATTAAGTTGACCACCAGTTCTTAATCCATAACAATACTAACACCACCTAATATTTTATATTTTATGTCATCACAATAAGTATGATCTGTCGGGGCTGGGGATTTAGCTCAGCGGCATAAGTGCCTGCCTTAAAAGCAGGCAGTTGTGAGTTCAATCCCTGGTACCGATAAAAATGAAAAAGACAACAACAACAAAAAAAGTATGATCTGTCATGTTTACAATGATAAAAATTTAAGTGTTCATATCATGAATGTTAGTTGTCACATTTGCTAATTTTAGTATAATTTAGAAGATGTGCCTCCTATGTTCTCAGAGAACAATGAATTTTCTGTGTAATCTAAAATAAATTCTCTAGCCCTTCATATTAAAAAGTACACTCCCTTGGGCTGGGGATTTAGCTCAACCTGGAAAGTGCAAGGATGTGAGTTTGATCCCCAGAATAACAACAGCAGAAAAATCAATAACCTTCCTATACACCCCCCAAAAGTTGTGATCTACCACATTTTATTAGTGGGTCTTTGAGTTATTTTTAATATGCCAGGAAGTTCCTGTGAACATTGTACTTCACCACAATAAAAACTCCCATGCTCACGCTCGTTTCTCAGACATGAAAACTATTCAATAATTAATGAATTAGGGAATAGGAGAGTAACTAAAAAGTGAATGAGTAAAAGAGAAAATGAATAAAAATTTACTATTAATGATCTACACTAACATATATCTTATGATCTATTAATTATTTCATACTGATCTGACAGTATTATATGTCTTTAACTGTTTAAAATGAATTAAATTACTTGTAAAATGCAATTTGAGGAGTGAAATATTTGAACATACCCAGTAAGTGATGGGCACTTGTATTAACAATAAAAATGGTCCTTGCTAAAGACAATGTTCACCATCACTGGGAAAGAGAAGCCTTTTCAGGGACCTTCCCATTGACCCTCATCCTCCTGGACTATGATCCTGATGTCAACTCTCCCTTCGCCTAAAATCACAACTTACATTGGAATAAATCAACAAGCACCTCATTTACATACTGGTTGCCACTTCCTTCCATGTAAATTCAGTTTTACTTCAAGGGCTGGGGATTTAGCTCAGCGGCATAAGCGCCTGCCTTGCAAGCAGGCAGTCGTGAGTTCGATCCCTGGTACCGATAAAAACGAAAAAGACCAAAAAAAAAAAAAAAAAAAAGTAAAAAAAAAAAAGCAGTATCTGCCTCAACAATGACAGATTCCAAGAATAACCTCCAGAATACAAGGGGCTGATCAGAGAGAAAAAACTAGAAAGCTCCCTCTTACAGTTAGGGGAAATCACTAGTGCTGCTCTTAATTTAAAGGAATGAATAAAACCGTTTCTAAAACGTCCTGAAGTTGTGTAAGAGAACTCAGCACTACGGCTTGCCTCTAGCCCCTGCGTGTGTTCCAGAACCCTGACGACGAGGCTTGCTCTCTTGTTTTTTTTTATAGCTGGTAGACAGTGGGACCCAGAGCTGCTGCTCTAATCTACTGCTGCTTGTGGTGTAAGGTCTTCTCTGAAAAGTCATGGATAAAATTCCTGGAAATTCCACAGCTACCTGTTTACAAAGCTGGAGTGTCAACATACGTTCATATATAATCTCCTGCTAAATCTCCCCTGTGACACCCATGATCAGTGCATTGCTGTTTAGTTGATATAATTTATAAAATTTAAATGGATGAGTCTGCCTTGTGCTACTACTGAACTAACAGAATCACCAGTCTGCAGCATGTTTAATGGGCAGGCCAACCCCATGACCTCTCCAACAAGTACATGGATAAAGAAACAGCATGTCAACTAACGCTGGCCCTGTCATTCAGGACAATATACAGGTGCTCAGGTTGAAAATGACAACAAAAATTGGAGGAACTGACATATTTCCAAAAAAATTAAAAACTGTAAATAAAATATTTTTAAACCTTATAACTATATCCTTGTTCTTTCCAAATAGAACTTTTCAAGGTCAGAAACTAAATTAAAAATGTTTCCTAGACAGTTAAGAAAGAACTGATTCCATTTTGACTTTAGTATCTACATTTATTTCTGTTGAATATTAGTTTTTCTTTCTTTCTTGGTATTTGTTTTTTAATGTCCTGCTTCCCAGAACAGAAAGTGCAGAAGACAAAGCCTAGGGCTCATTAACAGTGATAGATTTTATCATATATAAAATAGGATAATCCTGCGGAAGGCTGGTGCCTTGCCAAGGCATACTCTGAAATGTATCATGCACCAGAAGTGAACAGACTCCATAGCACAACACAGCAAAAAAGTTTTTTGCTATGATTTTTGTGCTAAGTTCAGAAAATAAATGTCTCTTGAGTGAAGTATTTATCATTAAAGAGCACTCCCCACACTGATGGGCAGCCTGAATACACACTGAGTTGGTGGCCCAAAGAAACTAAATCCAATAATCTGTTTAAAGTGGTCCTACATTAGTGATGCCTGCAGGGGTCTGAGATGAGTCCAGGCAAATTCTTTTTGATGAAACACTCCTTCCTTCCAGGCTTTAAAGGATTTCAGCTGATAAAGTTCCTAGGAACATGAATTCACAGTCAAAATTTATAAAACAATACCCTCAAGAAATCACTAGGTAGAGTCCAATACTTATAACCTATCTCAGAAAGACTTTAGATGTAGAATATAAAATTATACATTTAATATCCCTAAAAAAGTAAATAAGTTAAAATATGAAAAGCAAATAAAACTAATCAAGTGCAAATCAGACTGCAAAAGAACCAAGTAGAACTATTTTTTTTGGTACTGAACATCAAACTCACAACCTCACGCTTGCCTGGCAGGCACTATGCTGCTGAGCTAAATCCCTGGCCCCCAGGTAGAACTTTTGAAACACAAGCTATACATGGCTAAAATTGCACAAGATCAATAGATGGGAAAATAAACTAGATAGTCAATGCTAAATTTACTAATTGGATTACAGAGCTAAAGAAACTACATGTAGTACATTATGAAAATACCATGTGGTGGAATGAGAACTGATAGTCAATTTATATACCAGCTGAACTGAATCAGGGTGGTGCTGAGTGTAAGATTGTTGCCAACATAAAAAGCAAACCTGGAGAGGAAGAGTAGTTTTGTTGTTTGGAGTTGTTGGTTCTTTGGGTGCTGCTGGTTCTCCTGAAGGAGCTCGTGATGCTGACTTTCCTGATAAGAACTCGGTTGTTATCAGAGGAGCTTGGGACCTTATCACTGAGAGTGGCTGCAGTTCGGGAGAGCTTTGGTCCCTCTTTTGAGCATCGCTTCCTGGCTCTGGAGTGGAAGGTGTGCGCTGTTTAATCTTCAGGAGGAGCTTGTCACGCTGGCTTCTTAATATAATTCAGCTGTTCTCATCATTGGAGGAGCTCGGGACCTCGTTGCCAATGAGGATGGCCGTGGTACTTTTGAATGCTGCTTTCTGCCTGCAGTGCAGAACCCTCCACCTACTGGAACAGATCATTCGGCCTCTTACATAGACTTTCTGGCTTCCACCACTGACCTTTGGCCCTTCCAGTGCAGATCCATGATATACACCTGCAGGAGTCATTTGTCATGGATGCTAGGCCTTCAATTGGACTTGTGGGGGGCATTGTCATGGGCTCTAGGTTTTCAGCTAAACTCATGCAGCTGAATTTTCTAGGTCTCTAGTGTGTGGACAAACATCCTGCACTTTCTTTGTATTTGACTCCTTGGGTGACCATTATAAATAATACTATAAATTATGAGTCCTGTATTGTCTTGTTCTCTGAATACATCATGCAGTGTTGGAAAATATAAAAGTAATATTGAAAGACAAAGACAATAATATGAAATCAAAATAACATTAAATTAGAGCATGAAAAATTATAGTATAAAAAAGAAATTATGTATACACACCAACTCTTCACAAGAAATGCAAATATTATGTGCTACAAACCATCCTAATTAAATAACTGAGAATTGAAAATTAATTTTTAAATGTAAGAAAGAATGAGCAAGAAAAAATGTTAAAGATAGTGCCTTTGTTCAGTTTCCCAGAAGCAGCCTGAGGTAAGGTTTTGTAGCAGGTGATGCAGTTGGGCTGTGCTCGCTGTAGAGACCAGGAAGGAGTAAGGACAGCAGGAGAGGCAGAAAAAGGAGCTTGTCAGTCTGCATTCACCTTTCCATCTCATTTCTCATGCTTATAAATAAGTGCATGATTCCTCTTTCTTCTTCCTCTCTTATTCCTGTCACTGCTACAACTTCTAGGTGTGTATTTTCTACATTGTTAGCTTTAAAGATCCTCTAGGGAAACACTGGAGCAAACTACATTCTGAGTTCCCTAAGGCAAGGAAACCAAGCTCGAGCCAACTCTTGAGTTTGTGAGTCATTGGTTGAGAACAAGCAGAAATAAAGGAATGACCAGGGGCCTTTGGAGTTCTGCGTGTGTGCACAGAAGAGCTTCATAGGAAAGAACAGTTCCCAAAGAAGCAGCATGGTTCGCATTTGCCAGATTTGAATATATTTGTTCATTTCTCTTGGTTCTAATTTTCCTTCAGTTTTGGTCTGGTCGTATCAGCCCTTCCATATGTATAAAAATAGCATCAAGGAACTAATATTTTAGTTTATTGAAAAGAAGATTTGTGCTATTATCTGCTCACTTGTTTTGTGTAAGAATCTTTTTGGTTTATGTCTTGCACTGAGTAACTGTTTTCAAGATAATAATATATAATGTAATGGCTGTTGTTATTCTCTTATTATTTGGTTATGAAAATTCTTTTATATTTTCATACAATAAAAAGAAAAAATGATGTCAATTTTTAACTGTTTTCAAGCACCTTTTGTGAGAGACTTGGATCTAGTAACCAAAACTAACATTATATATAACTGAAAGTCCCATTATCATTCACAATTTTCATTATTTTTTATTTAAATTTCTTTTTTACATTTTGATGAATAATGTTTCTTCCAATGATCTGGAAAGTCTCTGTCTTTAGTCAATATGTTGAATACATTTAGATTTATTGTATTTATCAGCATGCATTGATTTCTTCATATTTCATTGACTTTCCATTGCATATTCTCTGTATTATAATTGATTTTATACCTTCCGTTTAACAAACTATTTCTTCTTCTTGAATAAAAATTAATTATTAGGGCAATTTTTGTTAATAAATAAATGTCAATATATATCTACATTAATCTTACCCTCAAATTCATTTCTTATGCTTGTCAATATTTATATTGTCCCTATTTCTCTCTCATCCCTCATCTCTTCACCTTTATGATTACTATGAGTATATTTTCTATATTTTTAGCTGTGAATTTTAGGTATCTTTTACAGATATTTTACGTTTTTTGACAACTACAAAATTTACCAAGCTATTTCTTCATTTCTATATCTCTTCCAAAGTTTACTTGACAACTTACTTGTACTGTTCAAGAGGCTACTTACAAAAGTTGTTTGCTGAATGAATCTTCATGTTCTCCTTTGTCTGAAAATATTTAAGTGCACATTTCCCTAACTTTAAATTATTAGCTAAATATAATACCCTAGATTTAAAGTTCCTTTACTGCAACTCTCAAATACATCATTCCCCTATATTTTGCACCTAACATTAACTGAGAAGTATGTTATTCTTTTTGGTAAATAACCTGCTCTTTCTCCTGGAGTTTTTCCTGTTTGTTTTTAAGGTGTTTCACTCTAATATCTTTTTTCTTTTCTGGTGGGGGGTACTTTCTATAAGGTTTGGCACTATGAAACTTTTCAGTTTTTTCTTTAATTCTTAGAAATTCTGTGTGTGTGTGTGTGTGTGTGTGTGTGTGTGTGTACTAGGAAATGAATCTTGTGTATTGGGAGCTCTACTAATCTACTACTAAGGTACACTCCCAGTTCCTCTACCTCATCTTTTGGACGATATTGATGACCCCTGCTCTTATTTAAGCTTGTTTACATTTATGTTATTTCTGGCCCATAATTCTCCCTCTTCTGATTCAAAATGACAGAGTGCAGCTTCCTAGAGCTTCACATTCTGGGCTGAACCACAGTTTGTGTACACTTTCCTGCAGCGCTGCCCTTTGGGGGCCCTTGTCGTTTCCTCCAGTGTTGGTAGAGATAACGAGGAGGAGACAGGGGTCAGCCAAAGTGTCTTAGGGATTTGTGTTATCTGCCCTTGAACCCACTATTCTGGAGGATTTTCTACTGTTTTCACTTTATTTATCACCAGTGCTGGGCTGGAGTCTCATGTTTTCCACTTTACTCTGGCCAATAGTCTACACAAGACATGTGGGAAAAGCGAGAATTAGAACCCAAGAGCTCTTCCCCAATCTTGCCTTTTCTTACACAAGCTCTTCTCATGGATGAAGGCCAGCCAGCTTTATCTTCCTAGAAGCTCGCAGTCAGTATTTCAATTTTTCTTTCACGGAATTAAGCACACTAGAACTTGTGACACATCTTCAGAATTATGTGTTTTGTGATTAAGTCTACACAATTCAGAGGAGTAAATTATCAATCCCCATTAATTTGTTAAAAATGGAGAGGTTTCAAATTATCTTCATTTGCCTCCATAACTGATACAGTTTTGCAGCTGCTTGTCCTTCCTGATACCTCAGCCCAGCTCTGCAGGACTTTATCCACCTTCCACAACACACTGGGCGAAAGTGTGCGCTGTACTACCTGACTTCTAAGAGAACGTCCTGTTTTGTTGAGGATGTCAATTTATTTGCAAAAATCTCTAAGGAAAACAAAGTTGATAATATTACAAATAAAATAGTCTTAAACTTAATAATTAGACTTTCCATATTACTCACAGGAGCAGAAAGTAGATTTTAAAAAACGGTTTATCCCAAGCATCCTGTGATGAAATAGGGAAATATGGGCAAGGAAGGTAAACGTGAGCCCCAGAATCTTACCCCGTGTGCACAGTGATATGGTTCCCAGTTCTTCAGGATTTTTGAGAGTGAAGGGCAATCGTAACTGTCACCTTGAACTGTTCTCTAGTTATCCAGAATACATTTATGAAGTGGACTTAAGTAATTATGAAATTAATTATCTCAGGTACATTTTTTGATTACAAATGAAGTATTTCTGCAGAAAGTTAGTTCCCTTAGGTCAGGTTTATTGTTACATGTTTACTAATACCAGGTTTGAGATCATCTGTGCAATCTTTACCTTGATAGTCCCAAAATGACAGCAGAATCATGTCTGTTGACACTGACAGTCATTAACATGAAGAACTATTGTGAAATGCCTCTCCTTTTCAGATGTCTGCATGTCTAAAATTCCCCCACTCTCCTCTTTTACACGCAACAGAATTTCTGTCAGCACTTCAATGCCTCAAAGCCATCTATTTGGCCACTGAGAAAGAAATTCTTCAAGGATTAATTGAACAAACAGCTTTGAGAAGACTTCTGGGGCACAACATAAAAGATGGATCTAGTAGGTGACTACAACAATCAGAAAGGAGTTTGGCAGATTTGAGAGGCAGAATCTCTGATGGGCTTTGTAAGTAGAAGCCCCCTTTTCTGAATTAAGGTCTTGGCTCTAGGTACATAGAGTTCAGCTTAGGTGGTCCCAGGCACAATAGATCACGCTGAAAGGAAATTTTGAAGTAAGTGAAATTTTTCTCAGTGCACACGGTGGTATCTTTCTCCTGATGCTCCTTCCCTGAATTTTACCTCAGGCCTTCAGTGCCTGAAGCTTTCTCCTTCTCTGCCAATACAAGTTCACTTAATTGGGGTATCCAGTCAATGGATGATTTGTAGAATGGAAGTGCCAGATGCTCAAGTCATCGAGATGTATAAGGTAGAAGGCATACCCTTAATAACTCATCCTCCAATTGGAAGAGAGGCGCAAAATAAATGGAAACCAATGTGATAAATACAGTAATTAGATCCAGAAATTCTATAAATATGATCAAATAAGAGAGTTAGCAACTATACTTAGATAGGATGGGGAAAGTCTTTGAATTTCAAACAGGTCTTGAACCATTAGGTGTGAAAGAGAAATGTAAGGGGGAGGGATTTCCATGGAAATTAACTAAATGCAAAAAAGTTCCCCAAAGTGAGCAAACTGATTCACACTGAGTGCTAGGCTCAAAGGCAAAATTTTAGATACAAGCAATAAATCCCTAAAATACAAATGTTTAGAAACTGATAAATTAGAGAAACTATTTGACAATGATTATTTCCTTTGTTCTTAATTATACAGTTTAGATCTATTTCCACACTAAGGTGAACAGCCTGACACTATCAATCTGAGTGTCTATCTTACTACACACACACACACACACACACACACACACACACACGCACACACACACACGCACACACACACACACACACACACACACACACACACACACAGGAA